AGGTAAAACATGTTGACTACATACATTGCATTGAGACACATACAGTACTCCTGAGTTCACATAGCCTTTTTTCTTCTGCTTTTTCTTGGAATTGACCAAGTCAAGTCCTTTCTGAAATACAAATTTTAAAAATGTAATTTAGCAAAGGCAACTTCAACTCAAAAAGACTTCTTTTGTGACCATGAAACATGTCGCCAGTTAAAAAAGATTTTGTCCTGACTTTGCTGATCTTTAAAATGCATTTTTGGGCATCTCTTTTGGTCCCTGAATAACCCCTGAACTGTGAAGGTGCAGGGAAGGATTAAAGAAAATACTACTTAACAGTAAGCTGTTAATACATCAATCTTCTAGAACAAAGAAGACCTGCTACAGTTTACACATGATAATACTCTGTAACTTCTAATGTTGCCACAAGTATGTCCAGTAACAGATCGTAGATGACGTCAGTAAGTAACTAAGAACAGAAAGGTAGCAAGCAAAAACTCAGATGACTGTGTCATGAATTTCTTACAACATTTTTATGTCTTCTGTGATCTATTACTGTACAGACCCATGGATGGTAACATAGAATCTATTTTATTTTATAAAATGAGGAGGTAGAATGTTGCTCATGGTGACATTATCTAGAATGCACCTGTCCTCCAGTAGATCATAAGTCAGAACCAATCAAAATCTGTGCTGCATATTTCATAATTTCTGCTATATATTGCACCTGTACATGTAACCAAGCACATTTACCTTACCCCAGATTGTTTTGTCTCTATCAATTGCCGCATAGAGGCATTGGTTGAGCCAATAAAATCGTGGCTTCCATCATCGTCGTAGTCATAGCAATCAATCTGTTGCAACCAAATGTAAACAAAACAACAATAAAAAAATCAGTATAGAATATGTACATACCCCTGACTCTTTACTGTCAATCAGAGATCGAAGAGTGATGTCCACACAACCAATCAAATCATTATCGTCATCCTCATCCCAGTCGTAACAGCCAATCTGGCAACATTATAAATTAGACTTTGTTAAATTTGATTGAAGTGTCTGTCATGCAATTGGATTCTTCAAAGGTCAGTTTTACAAGTTTGGCTACCTTGTCTGCTTACACATGTTCAAATCATCTTTCAGTGAAAACCTCAATAGGATTAAAAGTATCGTACTGAATTGCTTAATAATAATAAAAAAAAAAACTCTTTGAGGTGGTAAATTTATATTTATTTTATAAACTCAATTGATAAAACCAAATTATTTGCCAATAATACAATTTGAGTGGAAGGGGTAAGTTTTCTATTATAAATAAATTATGGTGCTGTGTACACATGTAAGCGAGGAGTAACAAGAAAATGAGGTTTTATCAACTGAGTTGATAAAATGTAATAATTCAAGTGTTAGTCCTTTGTCACAACAAAAAAGGTTTGCTTTTCACTCAAAATTTGACACATCCTCAGTTTAATTTAATTCTCTTGGAGCCTTAAATCTCCCAAATACATGTAGTGCTTAAGTGACACAGATTTTGTCAACTTTTAAATTAAACTGATAATAATTACTATTTATTATTAAATTATTATTATCATTATTATTGAACTTACCCTAATTGGTGCATCATAGTCTCCACCACACAGAGTTGCCAGTGCGATGCTAAAAGACATCCATGATGGATTGAGGTTGTTCTTGACAACCTGTAGTATTACCACAAAAAAGAAAAAAAAGGAAATTGGTTCTTACTTGCTGTATAATAAAAAAAGAGGGCAGATGTTGACATCCTCTTGTACACAATTTTGCTTTGTTATCATATAAAACCAGATTCAATGAGTCTATACTGTTAAAATAGATTGAAGAAGGAAATTACATCAAAATTTGGTGAGAACATCAGTGACACACATAGCTGTACTTGAAGTGTGCCACTTTCCTGTTCTTACCACATTTTGATGTCAATCTATAACCAAGCAGATGCACAGTAACATGAAAATTTTTGTTTAATCCTTAAACTCCCAAAAGTGATCAACATGATACTTCTCCCTATAATATCCATACATTTTTCAGCAAACAGGTAATGAGAATATTCAAACTTATTAGAAAGAAGCTGCTATCTTGATCTAGCACCAAGTTCTCATAACTAATTTACAAGGAAATAAGTAGCAGCTAGAAGGGAGAATTAACAAGCAGATCTTGGGAGTTAAAGGGTTAACTGACGTATTTACAGGATACAGGTACCACATTGTTTACAGAAATTCATTTGATATCAAGCATAGCTCCATAATACAACAACCAAATACAAAACTATTCCGAACTAAATGTTAAAAAGTAAACCAACAATTAAACAAATGAACAATTTAAATAATTATGATCAAATAAGTAAACTTCAAATTCAAGTGAATATTCCAAAGTGAACGTACAGTACAGTATCCAGCCAATCATTATGACCTTAAGACCTTGAAAGTAAGACAAGCGTCTTTAAATTTTTTCAATAATAATAATAATTACATGTATAAATCAATTGTTACAAAAGAGAAAGCAAAAGGTGTACTTTTGCATCAACACATACATGCACAATTAATAAATAGTTATTTGAATTAATAAAAGTATCTGTAAATGGATTGCTCAACAGCCATCAGTCACATGACTGTTCCTGTATACTTTACCAAGCAAAATTACTGTTCTTAACAAATAATGTTTTAATTGTAAACATTCTCACCTCAGTGCGATGAACAAGCAAAGTTCCACCATCACTTTTCAGTTTAGACAATTGTAAAAAGGGATCAGATTTGCCCAGAAAGTCCTATCAGAAAAATACAATTTTAATTTACAGTCATTTAGACTGACAGTCATTTAAACTGATAATTACCACAGTATTTATAGATCCAGAAAGAAAGTAAATTGCGAGCTCTAAATTTACTATCTCTTGTATCATTTTTAGTGACACAAACAACCAGTTTTGACACTGCAGATCCTTCCAATATTTAAAACAAGTGTTACATATAAGGTAAAAAGGGGTCTTGTTTCTTATAGTGTTCTCAGTAGCTTAGTGGTAGAGCAGTTAAGAGAAAAAATCCACAAGTTTGTAGTTCAGTTCATTAATGATTACTCAGAATTTTTTTCGTCCTGCAAAATGTTAGGGAAGCCTGATGAACTTCTGAGGGGTAGCCTTGGGATGAACTAGCATTTCATCCAAGGCAGGGTAGTATTAGTCCTTGTCTCTTCACTTAACACGGAAACTGGGATAAGCTTCAGCTGGATAAGCCAATAGGCTCCAGTACAGACTTAATCTTCTAACTGTTCTCCACCATCTACGATGTATTTCCAAAAATCTTTTGCTTCCTCTTTTTTTTTTATCCAAAGCAGTAGATTTTGAAATTGCTTCATTTATGATTTTAATAATTTATTAATACATGACAAAGGAATCAAAATAACAATTGAAAATTAAACTGGTTTAAAAAGTAAAAAAAAAAAAAAA